CATGGTGGCGCATACCTTTAATTCCAGCACTTGGGAGGCAGAGGCAGGCGGATCTCTGTGAGTTCAAGGCCAGCCTGGTCTACATAGTGAGTTCCAGGACAGCTGGGGCTACAAGGAGATCCTGTCTCAAAAAAAGAAAAAAAGAATTCAGAGTTTAAAACATGAAGGGCAAAAGACACTTCTCTGCCTGGCATAGTTAAAAGAAGTGCCCAAACAAACCTTAGCATTTCCAAGACCTGAATGAACAACTGCAGGCTTCAACATTCAAACAACAGAGATATGTAACAAGGACACTGACAACAGAGAGGGAGGAGTGGCTGCCTCTTGAGGATCATGTATCTACTTAAGAGATGAGAGACACCAGATGGGGACAATGCTCAGTATAGCTCAAAGACCTCCCAACAGGCAATGCTTAATTGTACAAAAAGTGAATTATACTGATTTCTTTCCTCATATGTACTTCACATGTGTGTCTGCAACCAACGACCTATGACCAATTAAAAACAGCTGTTTTTCCACTTACATTAAAAGAAAAAACAGATGCCTAAGCCTAAGAGAGCAAATGCAAGTCTAGGAAAAGGAAGAGAAGGCCAACAAGATGGCTCAGCAGGTAAAGGCTCTTGCCAGCAAGCCCAACAACCTGAGTTTGATCCCTGGAACCCATATAGTGGAAGGCGAGAACTCCTGTAAATTGTCCTCTGACCCTTACACACGTGCCACACACATGTATGCACGAATGCACATGTACTAAAATAAATATACAAAAAAGGAAGAGTCAGCATCTACACACATATGCACACCATTCCAGCTATTTCTAGCCTACTTGTGTAGCCTGCTGCCTGTGAGGGTGGATGCAATGACTTGACAGTGAAAATGCATGTTTCTCCCTTTCATTCAGGAAAAGGTCTGCCAAATAAGGGAAGCCTTTTAATTTACCAATGAGTTGGGTCAGGCATGGTGGCACACACCTTTAATTCCAGCACTTGGGAGGCAGGGGCAGCCTCATTTCTTTGAGGAACTACAAAATAAAGCATCTCTGAAGAACACCTAGAAAGTGACACCAGACCTACCTTGTAGGAAGAGAAAGGGGAATCGGGTACATGAGCCCAGTAGAAGGTGGGAACATGGCAAGAACGTGGCCATCTGCTAGACAAGGAATGGAGCCTTAGGAGAAACAACCTGCTGGCTGGCACCCTGACCTTCCAGAAATATGAGAAAATATACTGTCTTTTTTTTTTTTGGTCTTTTTTGAGACAGGGTCTCTCAGTAGCCCCAGTTGGCCTGGAACTCATTATGTAGACCAAGCTGGCCTTGAACTCTTGGAGCTCAGCCTGGCTCTGCCAAGTGCTGGGATTAAAGGCCTGTGCCACCACACCTGCTATACTAGGTCTGTTAAGCCATCCAGTTTGTGGTATTCTGTTATTGTAACCCTGACAAGTGGTTCATACCCTAAGGCAGTACTTGGGAGGGGGGCATCCAAAACCAAAACAAAGCAACATAATCCTACCTTCTATTCTGTTGCTGATTTCCATTATTTCTTCATATAAGAATGGGAAAAACTACAAAGAATAGCTCCAGAAGAAAGTAACTTCTGTATTTTAAAAATTACATTGGCTTAATAGCTAAAAGTTTTAGCCAGGCCTGGTGGCGCTCATCTTTAATCCCAGCACTTGGGAAGCAGAGGCAGGTGGATTTCAAAGAGTTCAAGGCCAGCCTGGTCTACATAGTGAGTTCCAGGCCAGCTGGGGCTACAGGGAGACCATGTCTCAAAAAGACCAAAAAAAAAAAAAAAAGTTTTGGGGCTGGAGAAATGGCTCAGCAGTTAAGAACACTGGCTGCTCTTGTAGAGGACCTGGGTTTGATTTCCAGCCCCACATGGCAGCTAACAACCATCTGTAGTTCCAGTTCCAGGGGATCCAATGCCCTCTTCTGACCTTCACAGGGATTGCATGACATGGGTGCACTTACACACATGCAGGCAATACACTCATACACATAAAATAAAAATAATAAGGGGTAGAGAGATGGCTCAGTGGTTAAGAGCACTCAGTACTCTTGCAGAGGACCCAGGGTCAGTTCCCAGCACCCACATGGTAGCTTCACATCCATCTACACTACAGTTCCAGGGGATTAGACACCCTCTTCTGGCCTCTGAGAGCACTATATGCACATTGTGCATTTACATAAACGCAGCCAAAACACTCATACACATAGAATTAAAAAATGTAAAAATTAAATGAAATACTAAAAAAAAATTAAAAGCATTGAAGCTTAGGTTATTTCTCAGTTTATCAACCTAGGATCTGTGGGGTAGGAATCTTGAGTCAGAACAACCTCCAACAACTAGTCTTGGTCTGTACAGCGGACTGCTGTTGTCGCATCTGGTTGTGCTTCAAAGGAAAGCTGCTTCTCTTGTACTTCCACATATTAGAAGGAAAGCTCTTTTTTAAAAAATATTTTATTTATTATTTTTATTTTATGTGTATGAGTGTTAGCCTGCATGTAAGAAAGTGCACCCATGTTGTGCAATGCCCAAAGAGGACAGAAGAGGTTGTCAGATCCCCTGAAACTGGAGTTATGGACAGTTGTTAGCTGCCATGAGAGTGCTGGGACTCAAACCTGGGTCTTCTGCAAGAACAGTCAGTGTTCTTAATCGGTGAGCCATCTCTTCAGCCCTGGAAAGCTCTTTTATAATTTATTTAGTAACTAGACCACAGCAACTGGAACCCCCACCCCCACCCCAAAGTTTTAAAAGTTTGGTAATAATATTAAATTCAACAATAGGCAAAGCTGAAAACTTCTCTCAATTCTGAGCACTAGGCACATCTATGTCATATACTTGACAGAGTCCACTATTATTTTTCTAATGGCCATTTTCCAGTTTCATGTCATATATCACCTGGAGATTGTTGTATTGAGCTGTCCTCAAAAGAAAAACCAGACATTTTTAAAGCAGTAGGTAATTCTAAGCAGGTGAAAGCTCTATTATAAAAATAAGGTGTGATGCCAGGCATGGTGGCACATGCCTTTTAATCCCAGCATTCGGGAGGCAGAGGCAGGCGGATCTCTATGAATTCAAGGCCAGCCTGGTATACATAGTGAGTTCCAGGCCAGCTGGGGCTACGGGGAGACCCTGTCTCAAAAAGACCAAAAAAAAAGAAAAAAAGGTGTGAAAGCTCAGATGGCTTAGAACCAAATTTATGGAAAACCATAGGCTTTTCTCAAAATACATCTAGAGCAAATACAGAAATTATCTGACGTCTGTTTGGAGTTATCAAATTTCAGGAAACACACCTGTTTGTCAACAGAGAAGGCCTCCTTTAGTTAACATCACCAAGGAAGCTAACAGAAGGAAAGGCCCTAACCAAGCATACATAAAATAGTTAAGGAGGATGTGCTGATGGTTAAGGGAAAGCATGTAACAGAAAGATAAAAAAAAATTCTCATGTGAAACAGGAAGTAAAAGAGAGAATTAAGGTCTAAAGAAAGGTTCTTAGGGGCTGGGCTTGGTGGCATAAACCTATAATCTCACCAATCTGGAGGCTGAGGGAGGAGGAGTGAGAGCTCCAGGCAAGTCTGGGCCATATAGCGAAGCCCTATTTGAATGAACTACGTCCAACCTCCCAAAAATGAGTGAATGAAAAAAAGAAAGGTTTGGGGCTTCAGAGATGGCTCAGTGAGTAAATGTACTTGCTGCCAAGCCTGAAGACCTCAGTTCAATCCTTGGGACCCACATAGTGGAAGGAGAGAACTCACTCTTCAAAGTTGTCCTCTGGCCTCCACATGCCTCACATGTGTCCACAGACATATTAACAAACACATATACAAAATAAATAAATGTAGAGCTATATGTGGTGGCACATGGGAGGCAGAGCTAAGCCAATCTCTATGAGATAGAGGGCAAGCCTGATCTACATAGTGGGTTCTAGACCAGCTGGAGCTGCAGGGAGACACTGTCTCAAAAATACCAAAACAAACAAACAAACAAATAAATAAATGTAAATTTTTAAAAAAGATTCTTAGGAAAGAAAAAAAAATCTAAACATCATTTGAGTCATATGATGTGAGAGTAAGGAGGCTGGAGAGATGGCTCAGTGGTTAAGAACATTGGCTGTTCTTGCAGAAGACCTGGGTTCGAATCCCAGCACCCACATGGCAGCTAACAACTGTCTGTAACTCCAGTTGCAGGGGATCCAACAGCCTCTTCTGTCCTCCGCAGGCATTGCACGACATGGGTTCAATTACCTACATGCAGGCAATACACGTATACACATAAAATAAAAATAATAAAATATTGCCGGGCGTGGTGGCACACACCTTTAATCCCAGCACTCGGGAGGCAGAGGCAGGCGGATCTCTGTGAGGTCAAGGCCAGCCTGGGCTACATAGTGAGTTCCAGGACAGCTCTGGCTACAGGGAGACCCTGTCTCAAAAAGACCAAAAAAAAAAAAAAAACCCCAAAACCAAAACCAAAACCAAAATACTAAAAACAAAAAGATGATGTGAGAGTCAAACCCAGCTTCTAAATTTTATTTTAAAAATTCCTCTTTTCTATAAATTGCTTTTGTTTAAAAAAAAGTATAGCTGGGTCCAAGCACTTGGGAGGCAGAGGCAGGCAGATCTCTGTGAGTTCAGGCAAGCCTGGTCTACATAGTGAGTTCCAGACCAGCTGGGGCTACAGGGAGACCTGTCTTAAAAAGACAGAAAAAAATTAATTTTTTAAAAAAGTGGTATATTTTGAGCCAGGTGTGTTGGTTCATGCCTTTGATCCCAGCACTCGGGAGGCAGAGGCAAATAGATATCTGGGTTCAAGGCCAGTCTGGTCTACATTGTGAGTTCCAGGCCAGCTGGGGCTACAGGAAGACCCTGACTCAAAAATATCAGAAAAAAAAAAAAAGTTTATCTGTTTGTTGAGATAGATCTTTCCCTCAAGGCAGTGCAAGTCACAGGACAAGAGAGCCAAGCACAGTGGTAGGTTCATGCTGTGGGGACATACTCACCTGCTTCTGGATCTGCAGGAATTCTCCACATGTACAGGTTGAAGTCATCAGAGCCTGAAAGGATATACTGTTGGTACAAAAATGACATGTTACATATTATTTTATAATTGGAGAGAAAATTATTCAACTATACATATAATACATATCATATAGTAATAAACATAGCTTTATGTCTATATTATGCTGTACTGAGAGAAACTTTAAACAACAACAAACAAACAAAACCAGGGCCAGTAAGGCGGCTTACTGGGTAAATAAGCACTTGCTGTGCAAGCCCCATGACCTGAATTTGATCCCCAGATACCACTGTGGAAGGACAGAACCATTTCCTTAAAAGTTGTCCTCTGATCTTCACATAGGCCCACAATAGTAATAAATAAAAAATATGAAAACTGTATAAATGGGAAAAATTTAAGGCACCACACAGCAAATAGCCTCATAAAAATACTTGGAAAGGGCTGGAGAGATGGCTCGGTGGTTAAGACCACTGCTCTTGCGGAGGACCTGGGTTCAATTCTCAGCACCCACATGGCAGGTAACAACCATCTGTAACTCCAGTTCCAGGGAATCTGATGCCCTCTTCCGACTTCTGAGGGCATTGCATGCAGGCAACACTTATACACAAAAAATAATACTTAAAAAAACTTGCAGATCACATAGATTGGTGGCTAAAAACTAAACAACAAAAAACCCAATTAAATTTTAAAATGACCAAAGCACTTGAAAAAAAAAAAAAAAAACCTCTCCAAAGATGTTATGAAAATGCCCAATACTTATAGGAAAAGATGTTCAACATCACTAATAATTAGGGATATACAAATAAAAGAGACAATGAAGTATCACTTTATATCCATTAGTATGGCTGTTCCAAGCACTGTCCAGGATACGGAGAAAGTGGAACTTTTGTTACTAACATTGCTAGTGGAAATGTAAAATGGTGCAGGTTCTGAGGAAAATAGTATGGTGAGTCCTCAAAAAGTTAGCATATAGCCGGGTGTGGTGGCGCACACCTTTAATCCCAGCACTTGGGAGGCAGAGGCAGGTGGATCTTTGTGAGTTCAAGGCCAGCCTGGTCTACATAGTTCGTCCTCTTTTTTTTTTTTTTTTCCCTTTCTAAAAAAAAAAAAAAAAAAAAAAAAAAAAAAGTTAGCATATAACTATCATATAACCCAGTAATCTAACCCTTGATTATCTACCTAAGATAATTGAAAGCAAAGACTAACAAACATCTGTACATGCAAATGTATAGCAGTGCTATTCACAGTAGCTGAAGAGTAAGACAACTTGTATTCATTGACAGATAAAGGATAAACAAAATGTAGAAGAATACACAAGGGAATATTACTTAACCTTTAAAGGGAGGAAATTCTGACAGATGCTATAATGTGAATGAACCCTGAGGACATATGAAGCAAAACAGGGCAAAAGCAGAGGACAATCCTTAAATGATTCCACTTGTATGAAGTGCTTGGCATAGTGCAACTCAGAAACAGGAAGTAAAATAGTGTTGCCCAAGGGTTGGAAGAAGGTGATAATGGAGTTTCAGTTTCAGAGTTTGTGTCTGGGTTGATAAAAATGCTCTGGAGATGGACTGCAACAATGGTTGGACAACAATATAGAAGTACTAACTGCCACTGAACTGTATTTTCTTTTTTTTTTTTGGTCTTTTTGAGACAGGGTCTCCCGGTAGCCCCAGCTATCCTAGAACTCACTATGTAGACCAGGCTGGCCTTGAACGCACAGAGATCTGCCTGCCTCTGCTTCCCAAGTGCTGGGACTACAGGCGTGCACTACCATGCCCAGCTTGAACTGTATATTTTTAAAGATATATTTATATGTGTGTCTGTGTGCACCTGTGTACATACACACATGCTATAAAAGGATGTCAACTCTTATTCAGAGCTTGAATTACAGGTATCTGTGGGATACCTGGCCTATTAAATGGGTTTTGGGATCTAAACTCTGGTCCTCATGATTGTGCAATAAATACCCTTACCTTCTATTGCTCCAGCCCTAACTGCACATTAAATTTAAAGAAGATATTTGCTTGTTTTATTTTGTGTGAGTGCAATTGTGTGTGTGTGTGTGTGTGTGTGTGTGTGTGTGTGTATGCTCACGCAAGTGATGGCACTGTGTGGAGGTCAAAGGAAAACTTGTAAGAGTTGGTTCTCTCCTTCTACCATGTGTATCCCAGGGATTGAATTTAGGATGGCAGGCTTGACAGCAAGCACCTTTACCTGCTGAGCCAATTTACCAGTCCCCAAACTATCCTTTTTTGGGGGGTCTTTTTGAGACAGGGTCTCCTTGTAGCCCCAGCTGTCCTACAACTCACTATGTATACCAGCCTGGCCTTGAACTCACAAAGATCTGCCTGCTTCTGCCTCCCAAGTGCTGGGATTAAAGGCATGCGCCACCACGCCCAGCTAACTATACATTTTTAAGTAAAAATTTTTAGGACTGCTGAGGGCCTCACACATGTTAACACTGTATCACTGAATTACACTTCAGCCCCTGAACTGTACTTTTATTTGGAGGAGGCTGAGACCAAGTCTTGCTAAACCCAGGCTGGCCTGAAACTTGTCATTCTCCTGCCTCACCTTTCTGAGTACTGAGATTATAGGTATATGTCACCTTTTTTTTTTTTTTTTTGAGACAAGGTCTCCCAGTAGCCTCAGCTGGTCTGGAACTCACAGAAATCTGCCTGCCTCTACTTCTCAAGTGCTGAGATTAAAGGTGTACACCACTGTGCCAAAGAACTTTACATTTTTTAATGGTAAATTTTATATATCAGTTTATGCCACAATAAAAATTTTAATGTAGAAAATGAAAACTAGTAACTTCCTGGAGATTTTAGTGTGAGAATCAAGCAACCTGAATATCCACTGCCAGATGAGATTGTTGAATAGAAAGCCACTGTCATCCCAGCCATGACTTAGTGCCAAGGGCATAAGCAATGTCTTTTTATGTAGAAGCTTCAAATTGCTTACCTGAAAAGGGACATTATTGCTAGACCTATTGTAATTTAAGACAAATAAACACATAGTCTAACAGCAACAACAGTCTAACAATAACAATTTTGGGAGCTCACGTATTTCCAAATATTGACAAAACTGTTTTACTCTAACTGGACATCAAGATTGCTTCTGGCATTTTGGCTCCATCCGCTTATCTTTCCCTTAAAAAATAAAGACTTACAGTTTTCTAAAGAAAACTTCTAACTTGAAAAGGACATTGTGAAATTCTAAAAATAGTTTAAGACCAAACAAGCACACCACCTCATATCATAGATGTGTACTAAATACTTTACAACCATTTCAATCAATTACAGGGTGGAGATGTATCTCAGTAGTGGAGTGCCTGAGTTGTATCTGAGAGAACCTAGGTTCAATACCCAGTATGCCCCCAACCCCCAAGTCAGTTTACAAGTCTTCAAAACACTTGTAGGAGCATAAGCAAAGTAGCAAGGGTAGGAAAGTTTACAGATGAAGCAGTGCTATCTCTGTGCTAGGGCACAGTGGAAAACACTGGACTCAGTATCTATACTTGCAAAATGAGATAATGAGATTAGCTGTTCCTTGAGAAGGATTGGTGGAATCCAGATATCATGAAAGTTCCTAAGCTACTGCCCAAGTGGCCTGACACATCATTCCATAAATTCACTCAAGACAAGAAACTCAAAGGTAACTATTGTTACACTTCCATTAAAAAGGTTCTCTTTAGCCAGGTGTGGTGGCACATGTCTTTAATCCCAGCACTAGGGAGGCAGAGGCAGGCGGATCTCTGTGAGTTCAAGGTCAGCTTGGTCTACATAGTGAGTTCCAGGGCAGTTGGGGCTACACTACAGGGAGACCATCTCAAAAAGACCAAAAAAAAAAAAAAAGTTCCCTTTAGTTATGACTCTATTTTGTTGAAGTTAGGAAGTTGGAATTCAGAAGGCCAGGAACATTCCTCTCAGCCTGTTTCACAAAGATTAGGAGAAAAGATTTATTCACTATATACTAACCCAGAGTCTGTTTTCTATGCTAGACACTCTGTTGCTTACAAAGGCATGTGAGGTAATATCTGAACTCCTAAAGAGTTTATACAAAGTAGAAAATATAAAACATGTAGGTATGCAACAACCACTCCATGAAGTGAAGTTGCCAAGAGCCATTATGAGAAATAAGGGGCCTGGTGATTCACAGAAGATAAATGTGAGCACTGAGTCAACTTCAGGGAAAGATGAACCGCACGAAGGAAGGGCAAAAATAAAGTGATGGCTTTCCTACATGCTATGGGTTCAACAGGAACTATGGTCTAGCTCCCTCTCTGGCACCTGCTTGTAGCCTTCGGGCCTTCCTTCTTTGTGCTTTGTATGGTCTTCCAACTTTGAGTAGCCACATCTCTTTGTTTAAAGCCTGTCTACAGACTGCTTCAAGGAATGAGTGCTAATAGGAGTAGCCCAGCTTCCTTGTTCCCAAAGAAGCCTGATGCTTGTGCTACATATATATCCTTCCCCCATCAGGGCCAAAGTCAAATGGCCCACAGCCACAGATGGAGGCTCATCAAGTCTTTCCAGGTCTCACACTACTCTACACATCTCTGCTACTGTTTATTCCATTTCCAAAATTAGCTGCACCTGAAATTTCAACCTATATTAAGACAAAGGGAAAGAACACAGGACACAAAAGAATTAGCCACTAACCACACAAATATATATATGAAATATAACTTACTGCTTAACATCTCCTCATTTCATGCTGTTTAAAAGAAGCTATAAACACCAGGCGTGGTGGTGCACCCCTTTAGTCCCAGCACTTGAGAGGCAGAGGCAGGTGGAGCTTATCAGTCTTATTTTACTACTAAAGTACTTTCCTACTTGTTTAGTATTCACTGGGAAGAGCCCTGGAAATGTTAAAGGGACTGTCCAGACAGAATGCTGACTCAGAAGACTGCCTTAGAAGAAAGACAACACTCCCATAGAGTTAACACCTGTTGGATTTAATATGACAGCTCCTCAAATACATAGAAAATGCTTAGAATGTCCAGGTTTCCTTTCAGGGATAAGACAGGTTATCTATTATCTCT